GAGAAAAATGCCCCTCAAAGAGTCAACTCCAATTACATAAGTAATTTTCAAGGACGAATCAAGTTTCTTGACGGAGTTTAAAGGGGAAATTATGAATATAAGGTCTGTAGAAACTATCACATCAAGAGCAGCTCTTGTCACCCAATTTGCAGGGTTAAGGTGACCAGTTTAAACTAAAATAAAATAAAAGGTTATACTTAGGCATCAGAAATGTGCCTTGAAACTGTAATGCAGATAACAAAGATAACTGTTACTTTAGGAAAAAAAAATTTAAAAATTGTATTAGAAAAAAATACTCCCAGTGAAGAACACCTAGGATCCTCAGAGCTGTAGCTGGGCTGTCACAACCATTGCAAGACACTGTTCTGTTGAGTTCAAAATATGGTTATAAAACACAGCTCTTAATAAGCCTAGGTTTCCATGCTATGTCTCATCTGGTATATTTATTACCTGTTGCTGAAAGAAACAGCATCACTCTCCCCACCTACTTCCAGCTGCTTATTGTGTCTTTGTCCCTTTTGTTGCATCTAGTAATTTCTCATCCACAGGACAAGCCAGGTCAGCATAGTTTTCTGATTTAGTTTTCCTTTACTGGCAGTTAGGGGTTTTTTTTCTGAATCAGCTGCTTACGTTGAACTCACCTTGGGACGGATGCAAGAGAGGGAAAGAACTGGCTAAAGTATCCCTTTTGGCATCAGCCTGAGTTGCACAAGACCAGATGCAATATTAAACCATGCTCTGGAAAACATTACTAGCTTTCTTCTTGTAGAATAAATATTCAAGTGTCTTCAGGATTCCACACAATACAGTGAGTTTCCGAGAGCTAATGGGAAACTCTGAGAGGAAAAACTGTAATACTACAGCAAATGAAGGACTCCACAGGACAACAAAGCACAGTGACAAAGACTGAGGCTCAATATATGCACAAAAGGCCTTGCAATCTAGTCAACAAGAGGAGTAAGAAATTCATTACCTTTCCTAATATCACTTAGCAGGTTAATAACAGAGGCAGAAGTCAAATGCTGGAGTTGGGACAGGCAGCTCTATGCACTACATCACACCTCTTCCTGTAGCAACAATTGCTATTTATTCACTGCTTGTGGTATGGCATCTCCATGTCAAGAACCGCACCTGGTTCCATTAATAGTAACACGAAAATGAACTACTGCATTTGCTAATCTGTAAACAAATTATTAGTTCAATGTGGTTTTATACCATCTGAAAGTTCCCACTGCCTTCTGAAGAACTTGAAACCATAATATTTTTCTGACTCAATAACATGTCTTTTCTTCCCTCTGACAAACAAAAATGACAAACAAAAGGAAAGAACATTGAAAAAAAAATCCACTTTTATTTTTGTTTCCATTAAATGGAAGTGAGGTGCAATTTGGAATTAGTACTTTTAGATCATCCTAAAGTTCTCCATAGAAGGAGTAAACCAAGATGAACTATATTAAAAACAAAAAAGGCAAAGCAGAGACACAGAAAGGAGATGTTTCAAAGAGGAAAAGCAGTACAGCTTCCTATTTAATCTGGCTATTAATAAATCCAAATTAATACAGCAACACTTGTCACATATCTATTTTTTGCTTCTAAAACCCACTCTGTCTCTATGCTGTTACATGCATAGTACAAAACTGTATTGATATAAAAAGAACCATATATTCCAAACCAAACACAAATCTCCAGAATCAATTGCCTCTCCCCATCTGTATTCTGCTGTTAACTACATGTATTTAACACACAGAGTGAGACACTTTAGACACTTCAAAACTATCAACAAGTTTTCTATTTCACGCTTAAGATATAGCAGGACTTAATCAGAAACACAAAATGTCATTCCTCAAGTCACGAAATACCATCACACGGCAAACTTCAGCACAGAGATGACAGAACATCTTGAGCAAACCACAGCTTTTCTTCCTCTGATGGTTATCACATCACAAGGAAAGACCTGAAGAAAGATACTCTGCTTGCTTTCCTTCATCTCAATTTCTCCCAGTTGCTCCCAAGGCAAAATCCCTCCAAGGATCCTATCTAGGAAATTTAGGTAAGTGTATTACCTGAAGGGGAACAGGACTAGCTAGTAAAAACATGTATTTTAATGTAACAGAGAAGAATATATGTCACATTAGCTGGCAGGTTCCAGAGTAGCTGTGATGACAGAAGTCCATGGTCCAAGACCTGCATCTTTGTATCAACCTCTTTCAAAAATACCAGCAAGTGGCTGGTGAAACTTCAGCTATTAAGAGAGGATCAAACCCCCACATCTTCAATGATCTCACTATCACCCATCAGAGTTTGAGTCTAACAATCCCCAAATACATTAACACCTGCTGTTTTTCAGAGATGCCCAGGACCAGCATCTAGCACAGCATCTACTTTTGCTGAGTTATCTCACTGGAGTGTGTATTACCATGATGTGAGGTCCTGGAAGGATCTTAGCACCTCTGCACTAAGCAATCACTTCTTGGCTAATATTACATGGAAAACAAAAATAACTGGTGCTTTCTTGCCTAATACAATTTCAGAGTCCATCATGTTTATTAGAAAAGGCATTATAAGCTTCTATCCTACTTACATTGCAACAAAAGGAGCACACACAAGTGAGGAACTATGTGAATACCCAAAAGAGTAAGCAAAATACTGAAGATTTTATTAAGAGATTAGCATAAGCTAATTTGATCCTTTAGAGTTTTATCTTAGTTGTTTATTTATTGCTTCCAGTTACAATTTTATTAACTATTTTGCTACAACTGAAGATTTTTATGCAAATAAGTGCTTAACAATTTTCAAATGTTTCCCCAAGACAAATTAAGCAATGCCTTTGAATAAAATGCAGACAACTTGACTTTGCTGTGTTCTAGAGAGAGATGACATTATTTACATATTTTGTTATGAAGGAAAAGTTAAAATTTCAATTTTCTTCTAAACATATTAGATCCTCACAGAGTTAATCTTATCAGTTGTGCAATTTTATCATCACCACTACACTTAACCCTGTATACTGGTTTCCCACCTGCTGCTGCTAACAGTCGCTCAAGTTGTTTTTTAAGTTTGGTTATTAATGCCCATGCTAGTGTTTCTGTTCTGTTGTTAAGTGTCATAGGAATCCCCCCTTAGCTGGTCTGAGGCACATTATTATAAAGTAAGTTATATTATCTGCAACACTACCCAAAAAGAAATTCTGTTTTAATAAGAGTCTCTTCAATTCTTAAGTATCATGTTCTTAAACAGCATCAAACTTGACAAAAAGAATACCTGTATTTTTTGTTGAATATAGAAATACGAACTGTCTATAATGCTTTCATTCTGTCTGTGCACTGATGATAACATGGATACAACAGTTTAGTTCTGGTAATTGTCAGGCAGTGGAGGATGGGAGCAAAGGGCAGATGAAAATGTAGGCAAAAAAGAATTATCCAGAACTAACTGAAAAACTTTAAATTCACTTATCTAGTTTTTCTAGTTAAACACTAGCAGAAATAGAGAGGACATAGTAAATATAGACCTACATGAATGCAAATATTCTAAACTGATCGATGCCTTCAAAGTTGTAACTAAATCCTAATTTTTGAAATGAAGAGCAAACATACTTCTCAGAGGCCATTACAGAAGAAAAAAAAAAAAAAAAAAAAAAAAAAAAAAAAGAAGGAAAAAAGAAAACCAAGGCAAAGGCTTCTCACTGCATTGGTCACCAAAGTCAATAACACATGGAACAAAATACATGGGTTCTAAACACTTGCTGCCAACAGCACGGAAATGAAACTTAAATATGAAATATTTCACGTAAATTGGCTCTGCCATGGAAAACAGAGAACTACAAACATTAAATTATTCCAAATAACTATCTCTTGGTATGAAAATGCAGTTACTTTTTGGAAGTATTATTTTACTCTTCCTCCACTGGCCTCTTTTCCCAGGATGCCAGTGACAGGACAAGAGGAAATGGCTTCAAACTGCACCAAGGGAAGGTTCAGGTTGGACATCAGGAAGGATTTTTTGACTTAAAAGTTAGTTTAGCACTAGAACAGGTTCCACAGGGATGTGGTAGTCACCATCCCTGGAAGTGTTCAAAAAACAACTGCATGTGGCACTTCATGTCCTTAGCTGATATGGTGGTGTTTGGTCAAGGGTGGGACTCAATCATCCTGGAGGTCTTTTCCAATCTTAATGATTCTATGATTCTCTTCTGTTTTATGATTATTAAATACAAGTAACACTGATTTTATCTGTGTGTTTATAAGGCTCTCTTTGACAACCTACACCTACAGACAGGGAAGTGTAAATAATATATTTATAAAAAGATTACAACACTCACTTTATAAAGTATTTGAAATTTTTAAAGTTCTTCCTTAGATCCTTCTTGCACTCTTCTCTAGTCAAAATGATACATATTTGGCACACACAATGCAAAGAATCAGCAGTAAGCATAGGGGATCAGGAAAATAATTTAACTTTACAAAGGATACCACAGTTTGCAGAGGTGGAGTTAAAAACTACAAAGAAAGACTGCAATTTAAAGAAAAAAAATTCAGCTTGTAAGCTGAATTCAATAAGTAATTTATTAATTTACTTTAGGTTTCTAGAGTGATATTCTATAATGATGTATTCTAGAATGATATCTCATTTTATAATTGCTAAATGTATAAAACTGCATTATTCTGAAAAGCCAATTCAGGCATCATTATATTAATACAATGGGTCAAGTTACACTTCAAAAAGTACAGGTTGAACTGTTACTTTAAAGTTTTTTCAAAGTCAGGGTGATAGGAGGAGAGGCTTCACTTATCAAGAGCAGCCAATGAGACTACCTCCTTCTCTCCTTCTTAAAATTTCTGCTTAAAAAAGTTCTCTGAATGCTCTGAACAGGAACTTCGTGTTCAGAAGAAAATATTCAAAAGGTATAAACTACTGAACATCTTTCATCCTTCCTTTGCAGTAGTAAAACTTCAGCATGTGAAAACACAGAAAATATGATCAGAATTTCATTGACTCACCACTGTTCCAAATCCTTAGGTCTTAGTCAACCACTTCAGATGCCTGGCAATACCTAGAGAAAAAAATTGATGTAAAACATAAGAAAGGTACAGAGACAAAAATATCAAAATAATATTCATTATTAGTATTGGTGGCTGGAATGGTAAAAATGTTGCTTGTAAGAGACTACATGCACATGGGCAACATTTCCCTACCAGGCCAATTTTACTTGGCTAGAAACGCATCTAGCGTGCATCACTCCAACCATGAAGGCACTAAGAAAAAGCACAAACCCGGAACTTTCAGGAAGGTAGCCTTCAGACTCTTCAGGGAATCCGTTTGGTGAAGTAGCCATGACATAAAGCCCTGGCTGGGAGAAAGGCCTAAGAAAACTCACTAATATTCAAAGATCACCTCCTCCAAGCTCAAGGACTACACATCCCAACAACAAGGAAGTCAGGCAGAAATGCCAGGCCTGCATGGATGAACAAGGAGCTTGTGGACAGACATAAACCAAAGGTCAAAAACAAGGACAGGTAGCCTGGGAGGAATACAGAGAGGATGTCTGAGAAGCCAGGGATAAGGCTAGGAAAGCTAAAGCCCTGATGGAATTAAACCTCTCCAGAGACATCAAGGACAACGAGAAAAGCTTCTACAGTCATGTTGGTGATAAAAGCAAGATGAGAAAATGTGTTCCCTCTCTGCAAGGAAACAGGAGATGTGGTTACACAGGACATGCAGAAAGCTGAGGTACTCTGACTTTTTTGCCTCGGTTTTCACTGGCAAGTGTTCCAGCTACAATGCTCATATTGCAGAAGGCTAAGAAAGACATGGAACTACTGGAGAGGGTCCAGTGAAGGACTACAAAGATCATAATAGGATCACAGGACATCCTGAATTGGATGGAACTCACAAGTAGAGTCCAGCTCCTGGCTCTGCACAGGATAATCCCCAAAATCACTCCATATGACTGAGAGCATTGTTCAAACACTTCCTGAACTCTGTCAGGCTTGCTGCTGTGACCACTTCTCTGGGGAGCTTGTTTCAGTGCTCAGCCACCCTCAGAGTGAAGAACCTTTTCCTGATATCCAGGAAATACAGCTTCATGCCGGCTTCCTATGTCATATTACTGCTCAGCAAAGGGATCAACAGTTACCCATTTCAGCTTGTGAGGAAGTTGTAGACTGCAGGGTTATGGTTAGGGGACTGCAGTATTTTTCTTCTGAGGAAAGGTTGAGAGAGAAACCACACACTGCAGGACAAGATCAGGTTTGCAACCATCCTCAGGAACTGAAGGTGCACATGTCTATGGAACCTAATGGTGCAGAAGTCCATGGGACCTGATGAGATACATTCTGAGTAAACAGGCCACTATCCACCACATTTGAGAAGTTGTGGCAGTCTGGTGAAGTTCCCATTGACTGGAACAAGGGAATTGTAATCTTCATTAAAAAAAAAAAAAAAAAAAAAAAAAAAAAAAAAAAAAAAAAAAAAAAAAAAAAAAAAAAAAAAACTTTT